TGTGTAGGCGATGGCCACATGCCATCAGTTGACGCCATGTAACATACAGACACCACCCGAATTCTTTCTCAAAAAGCCACCAATAGTCTCCAAGCGTCAAAGAAGAGTCGAACCTCGGCCAACACCAATTATCCACTCATCTGGTACAAATACCAAATTTTCCAATCCACTACAGACACCAACGATTCGATACACACATCGATTACCAACTCTACTACCCTTCAAAAGGAGCGAATCTCTGTTCAAAGGTCTACAAAGATAAAAAAAAGAGGTGTTTCAAAAACGGAGAAGGAGATGGTTTCGTGTCAAGTTTTTGCCAATTAGAGATATTTGTCACACTACTATTCTTAAGGCTTTTCCTCAGGTATCTCTCTCTACATCTACATCTATCTTATATATATATATATATCAGAAATGTTCTCTTGCTCCCTAGTGTACAAGAAAATACATGCACACCTGAAGAAATAATCGTCAGATTCTATTTGGCAGTTAAAAAGGTAGTTTATGTTTTTATATCCAATGGTGATGATTTAATTCGTGTATAAATTCCTTGCACACCAGTGAGCAGGTGAATAGTCCTCATATATATATATATGGTTGATATACCTGTGTTTTCTTCTAATTTTGGGTCTTGAATTTTCGGATCTAAATACATTTCAGGCTTTGATTTAAGTTGGTTTTAGCTATTTGTTTATGTTAGTGCTCAATAAAATAAAATAATAAAAAAAAACTTTGAACTGCTACAGTATGGATCTCATAAAAAGAATATACCAGGTTATTTTTATTTAACTTTTGTTAGATTTAAAACTTCAATTCCTTCAAAATTAGATAAGTTCATGTATCTTTCAAAGTTGGTATCGGATTAGTTCAAATATCATATCATTTAAATGTAAGCCTTAAGAACTCTTGAGTTCTCACTTTTCAAATTGGTTTTCTAGGACCCTTATATTCAGAAATCATTCCTCTTTGAAATTGAACATCTCTCCCTGAGTACATCTTGAAGGGCTATTAAGGATTCCCATTAATAATAATAATAATAATAATAATAATATTTTCTTGCCATTTTAAGGCTTGTCTTCAGTAACTCTATGTTTAAACTCTTTTCTTTAAATTGCTTTCTTAAAAAATTCTTATATTCATAAATCCCTTTTCAACTCTCAGCCCTTCATTATCTTTCCCAACTCTAACCATAGTTATTAAAGGCCCAAGGCGCACCAAGGCGCTAGAGGTCCCTTGGAGCCTGGGCGCGAGGCGCGCGCCTGAGTGAGGTGAGGCGCACAATTGAAAATTTAAACTACCATAATAATATTCTTATCTCATAAGTCATATCAATATTCTAAAATTTAATATCAAACATAAAAAAGTAAATCCATCAACTATACAAGCATCCAACAACCATAAAACAAAGTACAAATTTGTTTTCTTGAAAGGCAAAGCAAAATGTGTTTTTTGAATGGCAAAACAAAGCACAAAAAGAAATAAATATGTTAACAAAAAAAAAAAAAAAAAAATTGTTAACAAGAAAAAAGAAAAGAAAAAACAAAGCAAAAAAAAAAAAAAAAGACAGAGAGATGAGAGAACTAGACGAAGAGAGAGATGTAAACAAAGATAAGAAAAGAGGAGAGATCTAGAGGAGAAGAGAGAAAAAAGAAAAGAAAAGAAAGAACTGACGTGGCTGTGTCGTTCATCTTTGCAACTAGGGCTTCGTCTTCGTCTTTCAATCTCATTCTATCATTGTTTGGTTAACACTTTGACTCTTGGACTTTCTTATTTTTTATTCTTTTGAACAATAGTTCCTTATATCGTATGATTGAGCTTTCTTTTTTGTTTATTAAGTTGCCAAAAGTACGCCTTTTGGTTTAAGAAATAAAACAATTGTATTTTTTTAAACAAATATCAGTGAGGTGCGCCTCACAAACAGGACGAGGCACAACCGAGGCACGCGCCTAGTAAATATCAGTGAGCCTGCGATAACAACAGGCGCTAAACCGAGCCTCGAGCCTAGGCACGCCTTTAACAACATTGACTCTAACCTAAATACCACGTCTCTTAATCCATAACTCATGATTTTCGTAAAATTAAAAATCAATTTAAGGAATAAATTAATTTGAAAAGACTTTTTCTTAGTAAAAAAGGACTGATGTTGGCTAAGTATTTATTTTTCAAAATATCTCATCAAATAATAATAGCAATTAAATTATTTTCAAAAAAAAAAAAATCTTTGAAGTTCTTAAATGTTAAGAGATTGGGTTCTGTATGTTTATTTAACAATCAAATATATATATATATATATATTAATAATTTTTATTTAATAGATTTTGCGAAGTCATATTAACTTGCGGGACATTTGTTTGTTAAAACAATACTGTCCCAACATAATGTTTCTTAAAGCATAATTTTTTCTAAAAAAGTCCTAAAAGTCGTATCTTTCCTTCAAAAATTTTTTTTTTTTTGCTTTCCTTAATATATATATATATACTTCTCTAAAAGAATAGCTTCTAAAGCATATGTACAATTTTTTTTTTTGAAAAATATATATACTTTCTTAAATTACAAAGTTTCCTTAGAAACATTTTAAAATATACAAATATATATATAGATATATATTCCGTAGATATATACCTTATTAAAATTTAAGCTTCCTTTGAAATATATATATTTTCTTTAATTACAAGTTCCCTTAGAAACATTTTTAAAATTCAAATCTCGAGTTTCTTTAGAAACATTTTAAACTCCATTAATAAATTAACTTAGGGATGCAATATAAAAAGTAAGATAATCTTGTTCCATGGGTGTCGTGGGGGTGCCTAACACCTTCCCCATGCACAACCAAACCCCCGACCCCATTAATCTAGTTTTCGTAGACTACGTGGATGTCAAATATGTTAGGGCCCAAATTAGACATCTCATGTGTCCATCTATTTTTCCAAAGTCCTTAGACATCATAGGTGACCTAGCACATCATAATCCTGTGCTAGATGGCTACTCCAATTATTAATAAATTGGCCTACCCTAAAATAAATAATAATTGGCCGTAGCCACTCCATCGCATTAAGCCACTTTTTTTGACCCGTAAGTTTTTAATATAACCCTTAGAGAGGGAGGGGAAAAATCCGAGTGCGGCAAATAGTTACTGAAATGTTTAAGAAGAATTGAGATTATTTACCTCTTCAGATTGATTTTGATGCACCCACATACTGTGCAACTGAACCACCCCTAGCACCCTTGCCATATGTCATTCCACCCCTTGCACCCCTACCATATGCCCTTCCTCTATTAGTTGATGGTGGTCTTCCTCCCCTTCTTGGTGGAAGTTTCTCAACCACTATTGGTTCAGATGCTGTGCATGTTCTTGTGTTGTGCCCATAAACATTATATTTTGAACATTGCAAAGCTGGTCTTGGCTTGCTAAGTATGGTTGAAGAACTTGCCTCATCAATTTTTTTGTTCTTTGGCTCATTATTATTATTATTTTTTTGTTCCTTGACATTTTTGGTCTACCAGTTGGTTTCCTATAGGTTGGAGGCTTCAATGGGTCTGTGGGTTCTGAATTTAACAGCCTCCTCATAGGAATGGGACACATCAAGTTTGCATAGGCCTTTAAATAAGTGTATTTGTGATAGTATGGATCAACATATATCTCTGGCAGCTCCCTCCTTGCAAATATGCATGCTATAGCATGGTTGCAAGGGATACCACTAACTTCCCATATCCTACAAGTGCATGTGTTCTACCCAATGTCCACTGCCTCACTGATTCCTCTACATTCCACTTCATATTTGTCCTTACCCGCATAATTTACTTTACAAAATCTTGCACTACTTTTCCTCTTGGCCATCTCCCTCTAAATGTTTGGACATAACAACCCACTCTTTGAATTCATGAATTCCCTCTTACTTTGAAACTCAACATGAGATGTTTTCTAATCCATTCCAACATGTACAAAATAGGCTTGTCTCTTGCTAGTCTCTTGCTGGAAGAATCATTGCATTCTAGGACTCGCACATATTGTTTATCACCAAAGCAGTTTTTGAATGATAACTAAAACTGGACCTTGTCCATACCAACTGGACCTTGTCCATACCCTTGGTGGCACTTTGTTCAGCCACTCATAGGCTTTAACATTCATCTCTTTGATCTTGTTCATATGCAATTGAGAATCAGCTTCTGTATAGGATTGAGTTGCTTCCTAAACCTCATTTTTCAGATTTTGTCCCCTAAATTTTAGCTTGAAATTTTCATAAAGGTGTCTCACACAAAATCTATGTTCAGCCCCATACAGAATGGTGTCAAAACTATCTACAAATCGCTGAAATAGTTTGAACATTACAAATGAAGTGCAAAGAGAAATTAATACCAAGTGAAGTAGAGTGTAAAATGAAATAAAATTGTGTGCAACTAAAGTGAACTGAACTGAAATAAAACTACTAACTTAAAACACCAAAAAATTAGTAAAGTGGAAAACTGAAATTAAATATAATTGCTACTAAAGTGAACTGCAATATTTCAGTTCAGTTCACTTTGGTTGAAGTGTAAAATGAAACAAAATTGCGTGCAACTAAAGTGAACTGAACTGAAATAAAACTACTAACTTAAAACACCACAAAATTAGTAAAGTGGAAAACTGAAATTAAATATAGTTGCAACTATAGTGAACTGCAATATTAACTGGAATAAAACTACTGACTTCTAGAATTGCAACTAAAGTGAACTTAATTGAAATAAAACTACTGACTTAAAACATACTTAAAACACTAAAAAGTCAGTAAAGTGCAAAAATGAAATTAAATAAAACTACTAACTTAAAACACTTCAACTTCAGTCAAGTGCAAAACTGAAATGAAATAAAACTACTAACTTAGAACAGACTTATATTGGTAAAGTGCTAAACTGAAATGAAAAACAAGTAACGATTTAAAACAGATTTGAAATACTGAAATAAATAATTTCCAACTGAAAACTGAACATAAATAAATAAAGCTACTTACTTTCTGTCTATCTCACATGAAGGTGATGTCAAAGTGAGGTCCCACATCCTCCATTAACTCTGTCATGAACCAAGCCCAAGAGTCTTTTGTTTCAGCCTCTACAACTGCAAATTCAACAGGGAACATTTGGTCATTCCCATCACATGCCACAGCAGAAAGAAGGTGACCACCATATGCTCCCTTTAGAAAACACCCATCAACTCCAAGGAATGGTGTACAACCATCTCTAAATCCCTTCTTCATTGCAGTATAACAAATAAAATTCCTTTGAAAAGTCTTAATTTCATTATCATAAGACATGGGATCAACACCAATTGTTGCACGACTTCCAGGATTGGTTCTTTGGATCAATGCACAGTAGTCCCTCAACTTTGCATATTGCTCAGCTTCATCACCCTCAATAATGCCTAATACCCTTTTCTTTGCCGTATGCATTTTGTACGTAGACACATCAATGTCCAACTTAGTTGCAATAGTACTTTGAAGTGCCACATTGCCCATGGTTGGGTTTAATCTAACTTGCTCCAAGTATTTGTTTGCTAGATAAGAAGATGTGGCTTGCTTACGACTATGAGTCCACAAGCAATTTTTATGCTCTTTGCTGAATCTCTTAATTCTTAAACACTGCTCATTACTTGGTTTACTTGCATGTATCTTCCAACCACAACCTTGCTTGCACACTGCAGACACTCTATCACCATCATTTCTTGTGAATTCAATATCCATCTTTTCCTTGATTACAAAATCCCCAAGTGCAAGGCTAAAATCTGCAGTTGATGCAAACCTCATGCCAATTTCTAGTTCTTTAATACCCAAATCCCTTGAAGGCGAGAATTCTTGGTTGTTCGGGATAGATTGAATAACAATATCCTCATTCTCATCATCATCTGAACTAGGTAGGCTTCTCAACTCATCAGTAGGACCATATGCAGACCCCACTTCAGTAAAATCCAAGTATGCTTCATCAAACTCATCATCAGACGCCACTTCAGCAAATTCTATGCATCAATCTGTTCATCATTATTTGTTTCTTCAAGGTTTTGTAACTCCCCTATCAACTATGGTGCAACAATATAGATATGGATTTCCTTGACTTCCTTGCATGGCGCAAGAATAGAAAACATGTTAATTACATGTAGGTCAGACTTCAATTATTTGAATCCCTCACCATTGGGCATTTTGTAATAAGCCTCAGTAATAGTCTCATAACCAATTTTCTTTGCCATATCTTGCACTTCAATATATGACATTTTTTCTGGATCCAAATTGTCCTAATATGTTACCTTTCCTCCTAAGTATGCCATATGGGGTCCTTTCTCAAACACACCCCCATGGTGCAACCCAACAGTGTATGATATATCCATCTAAAATAATACATGGTTCTATTAGTGATCAAGTCAAATATGGTGGTAATGTCAAGCAATAGGGGCAATGAATAGACATAAACAATAGGGGCAATGCACAGTTTTAATGCTTCAATATAAAGTAGGAGAGAAAAAATTATACAATGTTCAGTATTCATGCTTGTCTATTAAACACAAAAAAGAATTAAAAGACTGAACAGTATAGTTGTAAGCAAAACTACAAGTAAGTAGCATAGGAAGGGACCACAAACAAAGTAAGTCAATGGAATCTAACAAAACTGACAAGATATTATACAACTGACAAAAATCATGAGCACAAAAAAAATCATCTTAACCACCTTTATTTCAACACATTAAATGATTTGCTTTTTAGCAAACTTCTTTGAACCGCATTTTCAAGTTTCTCAACCACCAATATGTTTGTTATACCACAACAAAGTATCCAGTTTATAGAAACATAGTGCTTTGATTAGAGAACAAAATAAAAAATCAAACCATTTATAGAGAAATAATGCTTTGATTACAAACCAAAATCAAAAAATAAAACCATTTATATAGAGACAATACTTTGATTACAGACCAGAATATATAACAAACAATTTACAATTATTTAGTTGATTAGTTGCGTGACACAGCTCGAGGAGTGATCGTCCAGTACCGATGTTACAATGGAAGGAGCTATTGAAACTACAGATTGTGTTTCAGAGGTCAATCTCGTAGTAAGAGAGTGGGTCTGATTTGTTTTGGCGCTAAGATGTGTACTGAACAACTTATTTGACGCTAAAAAGATAAGGATGGGTGAAGCTTGTTGATAAGGTGGTGAGTTGTCATGATATCATTGGTTGTTGAGATTTTACTTGACAAGTCAGCAATGAAATAGACAATAACATTCAAACCACGTCCTTTTAATTAAGGTCAATTTGGTAATTTAATATTTCCGATAAGCTCATGCCCGTCACTTCTAATTTTGTCCTTAAATTGCACAACTTGAATAGTTAGGGGGCATTACTTAGTTTAAGGGGGTTACTTGGGGGAGAGTAAAGTTGAGGGTTTTTTTTTTTTTTAGCACATTACCCTTAAAGTTGAGATGAAAATTCATGCTTAAAGAAAAGTAGTGTTTTTTATTTACCCAAGTCAATGCCTTTTGTTTGTTTCTTGTTTGTTTCTCAATGATGGTATCTTTGGTAGATTTTTATTTATTTATTTATTTTTTTCGAGAAGCAGAAACTATGTTAGGAAACAAGAGAGGATAAATCCTCCAAGATTACATCAGAAAGCCATGGAGGCCAAATCTGTCAATGCAGATCAGTACAATTTTTAGTTAAAGCCCATTTACTCCGTTGGTGAGCCACCTTATTACAGGACCTCGGAGCCCAAGCCAAAACTAATGCCAAATTTTGTTTCAACAAAACTTGGATATCATCAAGAACAGTAGAGGTAAGGGAAACAGCAGGATTGAAATTGACAATGGACTGACAACTACTTTCCAAATCCACCAAAAGATAACCCCACTGATATAATAACAACCACCCCTCTGACCCTCTCTATCTTTGGTAGTTTTCTCAATTAAGAATGCACTATCATAGCCTAAAATAGTGATTGCGAAAGGCCATGGTGAAGTTATTTTCAAAAAAATTGTTTCCGTAAAATTTCAAATTAATCCAAAATATATCATATCGCCTAGAATTTTCCACCATAATTTGCGTTAGTGGACCTAATGATGGGATCTTTTATTCAGTTTGCCCCCACAAGTACAATTATTCAACTTTGGAGGACATAAGTGAGCTGTTGCCATTATTAAAGATACAACACATTTTAGTGGCTCAGAATGAATTATAGGTGTCTTCAGTTTATGCATAAACTCAAATTTGTATGACATACATATACATATATATATATATATATATATATATATATATATATATATATATATATATATATAGTTGCTGCATGTGTCGGCCAGTCCACACAATATCTACCAATCCCGTCCCGCCTTGCCCCGTTTTGGGCAGGTTTAGGGACCCTTTTATGCAAAAGGCATGGGAATGGGGGTAATTTTTAAAAACTCAGTGGGGACAGGGATATGGTAAACCCGCCTCGTCCCGCTGTTTTAGGGTGCACATTTACTAAAATACCTTTATAAATTAGATATATTACTAAATTATATTAAGTATATATAAACATACTTCTGAAAGTAAGAAAAAATATTTGTTAAAAAAAATTATAGTGTATATTAAACGGGGATGGGGAATGGAGGGCGGGGGTGGGAATTGAAGTGCCATAAGCTTGTTGAAAGTTATAAAACAGAAATAAAATGATTGAAATACTTTATATTTTTTTAGCATTGGACCGGATTTTTCTAAGGTTAGGTTTCATTATTTTTTTATTTAAATTATTTTGTGACACATTTTTATTTATATTATTGAATATGTCTACTAAAAAGCATGAATTCAAAAAATAATACTAATAATAAATAATTAAAAATAAAAAAAGGCCAATAAGATTATTAAGTATGAACATAATCAATCTCTCTATCTATATATAATATTCTTGAATTATGCATCGGATGCCTTCTTTTCAACATATCTCCCAGGTTTACTAATGAACACAGCTCATTAAAGTTGAGATGACTACTCATGCTTAAAGACAAGTTTACTAATGAACACAGCTAATTGTTAAAGTTGAGATGAGAATTCATGCTTAAAGAAAAATTATTTTTTTATTTCCCCAAATCAATGCCTTTTGTTTATTTCTCAATGATAGTATCTTTGGTAGTTTTCTCAATTAAAAATGCACTATCATAGCCTTAAATAGTGATTGCAAAAGGGCATGGTGAAGTTATTTTCAAAAAAATTGTTTTCGTAAAATTTCAAAGAGTTTTGTTATAATTAATCCAAAATATTTCATATCACCTAGAATTTTCCACCATTATTTGCGTTAATGGACCTAGTGATGGTAATCTTTTATTCAGTTTGCCCCCACAAGTACAATTATTCAATTTTGAAGGGCATAAGTGAGCTGTTGCGATTATTAAAGATGCGTCATACATTTTAGTGGCTCAGAATGAATCAATGAATTATAATTGTTTTTTTTTCTTTTTCTTTTTTCACAATTATAGGTTATGCATAAACTCAAATCTGTATGACATACATACATACATACATATATATATATATATATATATATATATATATATATATATATATAGTTGCTACATGTGTCGGCCAGTCTACACAATATCCCCCAATCCCCGTCCTTGTCCCGTTTAGGGCGGGTTTGGGGACCCTTTTATACAAACGTGGATGGGGATGGGGGAAATTTTTGAAAACCCAAGCAGGAACGGGGGCGGGGACGGGGATAGGGTAAACCCGTCCCGCCCCGTTGTTTGGGGTGTACATTTATTAAAATACCTTTATATATTATGATATATTACTAAATTATATTAAATATATATAAATATACTTCTGAAAATAAGAAAAATTATTTGTTAAAAAAATTATAGTGTATATTAAACGGGGATGGGGATTACGGGGCGGGATGGGGAATGGAGGGCGTGGGCGGGGATGGGGATGAAAAAAATTACAAGGGATGGGGAATGAGAATTTATTCATGCATATATTGGAACAGTGTTCCCTAAAAATGGCAGTAGTAAAATTGTGGGAAATGATAAAACTTCCCATTTTATTTTTTTAAAATTTATCTCTCTTTTTTTCTTTTTCTTTTTTTCTTTCCTCCCTCCACTCTCCTTACAATTTTATTCTCTGTATTCTCCACTCATAATATCAGACTCCCCATATCTCTTATCTCCACTTAATAATACAAGGGTCGCGAGTCAAAAATATATATTTTTACTTGAGTGCCATAAGCTTTTTGAAAGTTATAAAACAGGAATAAAATGATTGAAATACTTTATATTTTTTTAGCATTGAACTGGATTTTTCTAAAGTTAGGTTTCATTATTCTTTTACTTAAATTATTTTGTGATACATTTTTATTTATATTATTGAATATGTCTACTAAAAAACATGAATTCGAATATGAAAAACTTAAAAAGAAGAGGAGAATAGATAAACTACTAATTCAATCTTAAAAAGTAGCTCTGGATCAATTCGTTACAATTAATAATGAAAATATAACAACAAAATTTAGGAGAAATTTCAACAAATGAAGAAACAAGTCATCTAAACAAAACTAGAAGAATATACATAGAATAGCGAAAGAAAAAAAATATTACATATTAAAATGTATATTACATGGTAAGAGTTCAAATTTTTTTTTTTTTTTTTTGGTCTACGACCTCAAATTATATTAAGCCGCGACTTTAACAATAGTTAGAGACTTGCAATCTCACTTACAATGGTGTGGATGGGTGAAGCTTGTTGATAAGGTGGTGAGTTGTCATGATATCATTGGTTGTTGAGATTTTACTTGACAAGTCAGCAATGGGATAGACAATAACATTCAAACCACGTCCTTTTAATTAAGGTCAATTTGGTAATTTAATATTTCCGGTAAGCTCCGATGCCGGTGACTTCTAATTTTGCCCTTAAATTACACAATTTGAATAGTTCAGGGACATTATTTAGTTTAAGGGGATTACTTGGGAGAGAGAGTAAAGTTGAGGGGGTGTGGAGGGAAAAAAACTCCCTCCAATAAGAAGCGTACACGTCATCACTACACATATCTACATTCCAAGTACATATAAGGCCCGTTATGCTCAAGCCCAAATTGAGTGTATTTTTAGCCCAAGACCATTGTTATTTGTCTTCCAACCTCCATCAAGGCCGAATCAAGAGGTCATTAGCCCAACTTGTTAATATTTAACATCCGGTCCGTTACTCAAGCCCAGCCGGATCAAAGTATGTTCAGCCCAGTTATTCAAGAAT